GCCAGCAATGCTTCACTTTTGGGCAAAGCTGAAGCAATGCTTCACTTAATAGAGACCAATGCGTGACTCGCTGCTTTCCCCCCACGGCTTCCTCGCGCTGTGTAATGCTGACCAGCGCTGACGCCATTCATGGTAAATAGCCTACCCTTACACGTTAAAAGGATGATACGACAAATATTTCGCTTTCCTTGGAAACGGCAACCTTTTTACGAATATACATGACTTGACTTCAAAGACAGACGCAGGTAATCGCACGCGCTCAGGCGATCTCATTCACTGTCTGTTTAGGCTTAAGTCCGAATCCACGAAGCCGCTGTACAAATCACCATGATAAACAGTCTTGTTATCATTATTAACTTATTTAACATTCAATACACATGGTACGAACTACGAAGGGTGGCCTTATGAAAAAAGAAAACGCGGTTTGGCGGTTGCATTCCTCTGCGGTTGGCCTGTCAGTAGCGCGGTATTGCAATATTGCGGTTATCGCGACAGCCCTATGTCTTTCCTACCTTACTGGGCCTTCAAAGTGTTAATTAACCCCCCCTCCCCCCCCCCCGAGCCATCGGATTTCATCAAAAATATCTTAATTTGTGTTCTGAAAGATGAACGAATGTCGTACGGGTTTGGAACGACATGAGGGCGAGTAATTAATGACAGAATTTTCCTTTTTGGGTGAACTAACCCTTTGGATTTCAGCCAGGTGAACTGTTCCTTTGAGCTCGGATGGGGTCCTGATACGACTGGAATCAAGTCTCTGTTTCTCTATGCCATTGGTGTTTGTTTGAGGTGAGGTGAGCCCGGAGACTGGCCCTCGACGGGGCGTGTGCACCTGATGCCCCATTGCCACAGTGAGTCCTGAGGGGAAGGGCTAGAAAGCGAGGAGTTCGGAGAGATTCCCTGATTGCGGAACCGTATGATCGGATTGTAGGCGTATGACCTGCAGTTCTTCTAGCTTTGAGTCCGGTGTTATGATGTGGTTTGTTGGCGAGCCCTTCAGAAGAACCAGCGGAAGGTGTCAGCGGCTCCTGCTGACGGTGCTCTCTGTGGGAAGACACAGTTTAGCTCGACATAATGACCCAGTTAATCACTGAAACCATGTGTTACACGTGTGAATAATGGTGCGAGTCACCTTCAAGATGAGAAGCAATGATTCAAAGTATTGGATCGTTTAAAAATGAGAATTAAATTGGGAAAGCGAACACAACAGACCTGTATGCAAACCACGTTTCCGTACCCTGTGTATGTCACTATTATTGTTGTTGGCTCTTTGATGAATTGCTTTTGTATCCAATTATGAATTTGATTTTGCAAGTCGCTTTGGGTAATTATGAAACGCCAGTGGACTTTTGCATGAACTACTTAGACTGGTCTTACAAGTTAGTCATCTAATTAAGACTGGATGTAACTTTTAAAGTCCCCCTGTGGTGAAAATCCAGCTTTTAATGTTGTTTATGTGTCTATGTGGTGTTTTTAATACGCTTTAAGACACACATGTGTAAGTTCATAAGTCGACAGCATTGCTGAGTATTTTCTGCTTAAAACTGCAGTGAACCAAAGACAGTCTCAAAAACACGGTTTGAAATCGCTGGTGTTTCTGACGTCACAAACGACCTTGTAACCAATCAGATCAACGTGTGATCGTCAACCAGTGGATCTCTGAGCTGAGTGAGTGGAGGCGGAGCTCATTTGCATATTCATAGAACCGCGCATACTAAATGAGGCAAGGGTGTCGAGTTACATTCAAGATATTTAAAGGCATGAAGACATTTTTTTACACAGAAAAAACATCAACATATGTCATTTTGGTGATCAAAGATGTTTTAAGGGATACAATTATTGACTACAGGGGGACTTTAACATAGTGGTTATGTTCATGCAACTGGCCTCTGGAAACATTGACATAATAACCACTGGATTTTGATAGAGTTTGTAAGGATTGAACAACTGAAAGACAATAAATAGTTTAGTTTGAGACACCAAATAGCACATAAACTAACAGTCTGTGCTTCATAAACTGACATCTACACATATTTTGCACTGATTAATTCAGTGTCATCACTATGACTTTCACTGTTATTTGACTGGTCTACTGTAGTATCACTTACTGCATGTTACTCTCAAGCAACTGTCTTGAACAGCTAGTTTACTTGCTAGGCGTACCTGTAGCTCAAACAGTGGAGCATGGCGTTGGCATTGGTGCCTTTGGATAAAAGCATCTGCTAAAAGCTTAAATGTAATGTTTTCAAACAGTTCCTAGAACCTCCTCAGCACTGCACACTTGAGATGTTTTCCTTAAAGTCCCCCTGTAGTCGATAATTTGATCCCTTAAAACTCAGCTTTGATCACTAAAATTACATATTCAAAGGTTTTTTCCTTTTCCTTTCAAAAATTTCTTCATGCTTTAAAATATCTTGAATGTAACTCGACACCCTTGCCTCATTTAGTATGCGCGGTTCTATGAATATGCAAATGAGCCCCGCCTCCACTCACTCACTCAGCTCAGAGATCCACTGGTTGACGATCACACGTTGATCTGATTGGTTACAAGGTCGTTTGTGACGTCAGAAACACCAGCGATTTCAAACCGTGTTTTTGAGACTGTCTTTGGTTCACTGCAGTTTTAAGGAGGAAATACTCAGCAATGCTGTCGACTTATGAACTTACACATGGTGTGTCTTAAAACGTATTAAAAACACCACATAGACACATAAACAACATTAAAAGCTGGATTTTCACCACAGGGGGGCTTTGATTTTTATTAAATGGAGACATCCCAAATGTGCAGTGCTGAGGAACGAACACTAAATTAACGACTGATATAGTGTGAACGAGCCTTTAAACTCTTCCTGACTAAAGGTGCACTTACATTCCCCGTTCTTCAGGCAATTTGCACAGGCAAAATCCAGTCATTTCAATAGGAATCCATGTGATTGGCAAATTTGCATGAGGAAGAAAAATTTCCACATGCAGATTTTAGGAGACAATAGAGCTTTTTGCCTGTGAAATTTCAATATGACTGCACCATAAATTGGCAGATTGAGCTGCAATGTTGACTAGGTTTCACGCAGAACAAGATCTGATGGTGCTGGACTGGTTTGTGATGGTCTGATCTTGATTCTAGTGAGTGGTGCTAGCAGGTTGTGAATAGATTAAGACGTCTTTGTATTATTACAGCGAACTTACAACGTGTTGCCTCATCTCTCAGCCCTCAATACTGACAGTGTGTGTGTGTGAGAGCGATGAAGTGTGTGCTTGAGTGCAAGGGCATTTTTCCAGCATAAGAGGGCTCAAACCGTCAGCTAACACACACACACATACACACATTAATGCACGGTGGTTAATTATGGCCGCTTGTGCCAAGACTGGGCTCCACTCCAAACCCCCCGCCACATCATTCCCAATTAAACAGCCCACTTCAATAGACCTCCCAGCATATGTGTGAGTGAGTGTGTGTGTGTGTGTGTGAGAATCCCACCTCCATCGTGCTGCCCGGCTTCTTCTTGAGTTCTTCGCACTTTCTGAACTTGCAAATCTGATGACCCGTCTTTCTGTTCCGACAGGAGCTGCACACGCCGCAGTTAATGAGCCTCCTGCAGGGGGCGCAGACGCCACACCGCTTGCGTTTACGTTTAGCCGCTCCGCTACCGTTGCTGTTCCCGCTGCTGCAACTCCCGTTCCCGTTCAGAGCCGCGGGCGAGCCGGAGCAAGACGAGCCGCTGTGCTGGCAGTCCGCCGCCACGTTAGCGATCTGAAACGCGCTGTCTGACATCGTAACCCCGGATGACCCTGCACCGGAGTGAAGCGTCGTCATGACGATGACCCCTGGCGGTAACGACAGCCCCCCCAAAGGGGGCATCCCTCCAAACGTCCCGCCTCGATCCGCCTCCCCGGGGGGCCCCGACGGCGGGCACTTCAGTCGGTTCATGCACTCGGCGCCCGTTACGGGGAGACCGCGGCACTGCTCCGCGGACAGCGGCGACAGGAAGTTGTCACCCATCGAGAGGGCGGAGTCTTGTGGAATGTGTTTGGCGGACATGTGCCCGTTCACCTGCTCAGCCCTTGACATGCCTGTCCGATGTGTATGAGGTCCGTTTACGTTAACCGTGGCGGGCTTTCGCCCCCATAGCATGGCGTTGTCACACGGCCAGGGTGGCATCGCGGATAAGCGTGCTGATGGGAATAGGGGCGTGGCGATTCGTGCGATTTTCGCGGTTTGGGGAAACGGCGTGGCGCCGGCGGCCGTGCTGTTCTTATAGAAGGTGGCGAACGAGCGGTAACGCTCCATCTGCGCGCTGTAGTCCAACACCGGGTTCATGCACGAGTCGATCTGAAGAGGAAAGTCCCGTCCGGGGGTGGGGTTGTAGTTGTGGGTGTGGCCGTGGGCGTGGCCATGAGCGTGTGGAGTTTCCATGCACACACTACTGCTCATGTTCGCCATCAGAGCAAAACAAACGCGCACTAACGTCCAACCATCCACGGCAGTGGTCCTGTGGAGGAAAGAGGTGGAGGTGAACAGAGATGTTCGTCAACTGAAGGTAAACGGAACATTTGTTATATGTTTTTAAGGTGCAGTGTGTAATTTTTAGCGGCGTCTAGTGGTGAGGTTGCGAATTGCAACCAACAGAAGTTACGGTGGCCGACAGGAAGTGATGTCGGCGTCTGAGACAGCAGAAAGTAGCCAGTTAAGCAATGAGGTTTCTTTACAAAGATGAATTAATCAATTAGCAATCGCCATCGCACACCTGCAGGTGATAGGTGCGTGGAAGAAAAGACCAAATGAGTCAGGTCAAAAATAAAAACACAAAGGATGGTGTGCAGGATTTCCTTGTTTTTTTTCAAAGATTAATTGAGAAATTAAATCTACTTAATTATTCAGTAAAACGATGTTAATGTGAATATTATTGTTACTTGTTCATCATTGTGTCAGTGTTTTATTCGCTGACTTTAGAAGCTTCTTTACACGAAGAACAACATAGTGACGAAACGCGTTTGTCCGC